AACCGGCGACCTCGGCCTCAAGAGCCAAGTATCGTAACCACTACAGCCAGGACACGGTGTTCAAAAGCAGAACCATACCGGCCGTGATATCCGCCCCACCCCTGCAAGGCTGTAGTGTCCACACTCGACACACACCACACACAACACCACACGGACGCTGGCAATCACCGCACACTTCGCTCCAAGTAGCACATGACCCCCATCGGTAGTATAGCCCGGTCACTCATGCGGGACTTAACTGCCCGCCTGTTAGCGGGAGCTTTCCAATGTCATTTGGATCAGTACCTCTGGGCCTCAGCCCTCCTCCGTGCAAGCACGAATTTGAACCGGCGACCTCGGCCTCAAGAGCCAAGTATCGTAACCACTACAGCCAGGACACGGTGTTCAAAAGCGGAACCATACCGGCCGTGATATCCGCCCCACCCCTGCAAGGCTGTAGTGTCCACACTCGACATATACCACACACAACACCACACGGACGCTGGCAATCACCGCACACTTTCAATGGTCAGCATCAATGGTCAGCATCAATGGACAAAGAAAATGGACATCCAAAAGCTATTTGTTTGTCAGCGTCCCCCTCCCCCCCCTCCCCTGGCTTGGTTGTGTGACATCCAGTTTTTATGCGTGTGTCACGGCACATAACCGGTCAGCATCAATGGTCAGCATCAAGGGACAAAGGAAAAAAAATGGACATGAAAAAACCTCGGTTCTAACTGTGGTCTGGTCTGCATAAATGATTCCAAAACTAGGCTACCAGAGAGAGTGGCCCGGGTCCACTTGCCCGGTCGGGCCAAAAAATAATAATAAAAAAATATATATATATATTTTTGAATTAAAAATTTTATTTTAAATTTCGTAAAGAATTTCGATGTAACCCTGAGGCAAACGTTGTTCAGTTTATTGCTCTGCATAACATAGTTTTTTGGGGGATTTTTTGGATTTTTTTTTTTTTTTTTTGCTGGGACCTTCCCTGGTCCTTGCACGGCCAAAGTAGGGTGACCTGGGCGGCCCGGCTGGTAGCCTAGTTCCAAAAGCTATATCCTGGTTCCAACTCTGTTGACTCTGCATACAAACCAGGATTTTGGTCGAACCAGGGTTTTGGAACCCTGGTTCGAACTCTGGTTTTGGTCAGCCTATATGATTCCAACTTAACTGAGGGGCATCATTTATGTTGCAGACCTGAGTTCGAACCAGGGTCACATGCTTGCTTTCATATAAACCCTGGATCGAACTCTGGTCTGCAGCATAAACGATCCCCCTCAGTTAAGTTGGCCTCGCAAAATCATGGCGTGACACACGCATAAAAAACTGGATGTCACATGACCAAGCCAGGGGTGGGGTGGGGTGGGGTGGGGGGGGAGGCTGACAAACAAATCATCAAGCAAGCAAACAAAGAAATGGATGGACAAAGAAATGGACCCGCTGGGCCCACAGGGACCATGTCCCGCCCGGGAACCATGTCCCACTGCAAATTGACAATATCGAAAATTCTGAGCTATGAGTGTGTAAGTGGAGCCTGGAGCAGATTGGAACCTGAATACTCTGAAACCCTGAACAGCGAGTGGGACATGGCTCTGTCGCTGAAACGCGGACAGTGGGACAGATTGATTGAACCCTGACAGCGGGAAGATGGGCTCGCTCCTGCGGGACAACAGAACCAAGTGAGTGCAATCTTTTTTTTTTTTTTTAATCAACTGACCAGAACAGAAAGGACACTTGATCTTAGCCAAAGGGCCGAGAATGTGTATTAAAAAAAAAAAGAAAAAGAAAAAAAAAAACGCCGAGAAAGTGGTATGTGAGACCAATCTTCGGTCACACACACAATAAATGCAGTGTGTACCTGCCCCGTGGTCCCGACAATTCGTTGATCAACAGGCTAACACTTGAACTCCAGTTGTACACCGTGAATTTTTAGAGGCTAATCTCTCTCTCTTTCTCCTTTTTTTTTTTTTTTTTTTTTTTTTTTTTTGCTACACCCCGCTGTGCTTGTAAGGGATGGGGAAAGAGGAAAATCACGGAGATACTCACCCTTGCACTCGCCATTTCAGAACGGCTGTTTGGTGTTTCGACTCAAAGCACTCAGTCGGTGTTTTCACTCAAAACACCCAGCTATGTTGCTCACATGCTTGATAGTGTACGGATCAGCGGGTGGGGTGTGTTTTCACTCGACACACTCAGACGGTGTTTCCACTCAAAACACCCATTGATGGATGAGAGAATGCTGCAAAGGCAAGGCAGGCAAGAATAAAACGGAGTGAACAGCCAATCACAGCCTAACAACATCACACACTTAGTGCACCAGGGCTCGAACCAGGGTTTATGTGGCAGTGAAGCAGGCATCATGATCCGTCCACCAAATCATTTGTCACTGATTTTATTTTTTTTTATTTTTTTTTTTGTCACGAGTATTACTACCCAAAAAATACACAATTTATTCCAAGCACGCACGCACGCACACAAGCAAGAGGAAGGCCAAGAGAAGGGTAAGGGTGTGTAGCGGGTTATTGCTCTGATTCATCAATCTTGTAGACGACAGAATTGAGAGGGTGGTCAATAAAAATAAAAATAAAAAAAGCAATGCTCTCTTGCTCTAATTAATCTATCTTGTAGACGAAAGAATTGAGAGGGTGGTGAATAAAAAAATATGTTACCATCCTGGTCATTTCCCAAGTGCAAATTCACAATGAAAGACAATGCCACCCAATTGCGAAAGAAATGAAAGCACTTGCAAAGAGATAAAGACCAGAAGAGAGGGAAAGAAGAAGAAGAAGAAGAAGAAGAAGAAGAAGAAGTACACCAGCAAGACCAATGACAATTCCCCCTTCTCTCTCCACTTTCCTCCTGCTCCTTCACTTCACCAATCTTATTCTTCTCTCAATAATAATAATAACAATGATGGATGAACCAGAATCAATATCCGAAGTTCCCTCTTACTGCTGACTCAACTCAACAACAACAACCAGTCCACCATAGCTATAGCTTCCCTCCTTCAGCCTCCTCTCTCATGCATAGGCTATGGCGGACTACTCCAAGCAGCTAGGGTGCTGCGCTGATGTCCAAAGGACAACCCAAGCAGCTATGGTGCTGCGCTGATGTCCAAAGGACAACACAGAGCAGCTATGCCGCTGCTGACTTGGTCCGCTATGCCTGACTCTGCCTCGAGCTTCCCTGGTGCCGCACTACCCCAACTGGGGCCTTCCAGATGCAGCGCCCAACAAGGTGATGAAGATGGTGTCTTCCATAGCCAGGTAAGTGCCCCCGCCACTCTCCTACCATGCCCCCTTCTTCCTCCTCCTCAAGCTGGTCTGCTCGCCATAGCCAGGCTGAGCTCCAGCGGCCCTTCACCTCCAAGCAGCGCTACACCAGCCCAGCGCTGCGCTCCAGCAGCATGTCGCCAATCCTTGCACACCGCAAATGAGGAAGAGCTCTTTGCTCTTCCTGGAGATATAGCGGCCTACCGGCCTCCTGGACGGTGACTTCCTAGGCCGAGCAGCCTCCCAGCAACCGGTACCTCCTCCCTTTCGGAGGGAAACATCATTGCAGGCTCTGCTATCCTCCCTACAGGCCCTAGACCCGGGCTACTTGGACTGGTACCGGCCTACCACTATCCTACCGCTACTGGGCCTCTAAAAATGCCAACTTTTTGTCTTCTTCTGCTCGGCCTCCAGTACCCGACACCCCTACCACTACTTGAGTGGTACCGGCCTACCTGCTACTTTAGTGTTTTTCCCCGCTGTTCTAAGTGTTGCGGGCCTACCCCCCGCTACTCGAGTGTTTTCCCCCTGCAACCCTCAAATTCATGGCCACAGGTAAGTACCGGCCCTGTGGGACCCTTCAACCAACAAGTACCCTTGCGGGTCATACACACACTCAACCGACAAGCACTCAGACAGGCATGCAAACCAGCAGGAACGCACACACACAGACATGGAAATCACAGCAGAATGCGGGAATTTCAGCAAGGCATTCATTCCAGCAGCAAATCCCAGAAATCAGCAGTGTTCTCAGTCTGTGTTTTTGGCGGGTCATTACAAATAAAAAAAAGCAGTGCTCTCTCTCTCTCTCTCTCTCTCTCTCTCTCTCTCTCTCTCTCTCTCTCTCTCTCTCTCTCTCTCTCAGCCTAGATACAAGAGGAGGGGAGCGGGAAGGAGGGGGACGACTACGCCGACATAAGTGCCTCAATGCCATACTTATAATTAGATTAATTAATTCAATCTACTCGCTACAATTGAAGCGACAGGAAAAAAAAAAAAAAAAAAAAAAAAACGCGGACAGAATTGAGCAGTCTCAGAAGGGCATGGTCACAATTACAACTCTTCTGAACGTATCCGACTATAATTGCCGCCAGGTTCAGTCGCGACGGTTCCAGCGTCGGATTATGGCATTAAAACTGTGGTCTGACACACACACACACACACACACACACACACACACACACACACAAATGAGAGAGAGAATCTGGGGTCTTTTGAAACAACACACACACACACGCACACGCACGCACAGACAGAGAGACGAAGATGCACAGGAGATTACAAAAATAGAGAAAGGAGTCGTGAAGAAAGGAGGGACTCAGGACGTAATGGATGAGGTTGGCAAGGGCGGGGGGTAAAAGGGTGATAGAGAGAAGGCTCACCTTAAGTACATTACCCCCCCTCGCTCACAGCCGCATCTCATCACTTCATTCCACGATGGCCGCTACACTCCAACCCCCCAACCCCTCCCGCATCACAGCCGGTGTGCGCGACGATGTGTGCAGCAACATTAGGGTTCATGCCGCACAGCAAAGGTGCCGTTCTGCAGAGCAGTGGAAGGATCGCCTCGGCAATGGGAAGGGCTGTGCGAAGGACGAACTCGCTGTCTGACACAGACCGGAGAGACACGTGGCACGAAACCACGTGTCAAGCAGGCAAGAAAGACCCGCACATCTCCACAAACACGTCCAGATTCGGGCATTCAGGAAACTCACCGCGGGGTCGCGTAGCCGTGCAGGAAGAATCAAATCACAGAGTCACAGAGGAAGAGTGAGGTCACAGGCGCGGCCGCCCTCGCGCGCCCCAGTCTCGACCCCCCGCGCGTTGAACAGCCAAAACCCGCGGACAGGGAGGCGAGTGTGCAGCCAGGGGCATAGAAGGCGTGCACCCTTTTCTTTCATTGGTTCCGCTTCTCAAGCTGACTAAGGACGCAAAAATGACGGGACTGCTACTTCTTTGGGCGGGAGACCACGAATCAGTCTGACAAGCTTATCGGCAGGCACTCGCCCGGGATCCTGCGCCATGACTTCAATCCCACTGGGATCTGTGGGCATTTGGCCCGTTGCAGCAAAAACATCAGGGCCGCACGATGAAGTTGTACCTTGCTCCGGAACGAAAGAAAAAGAAGGGTTCCCAAGAGGCTCGCGGTAAAGGCTTGGCAGAGGAGCAACTGGAAGGCCCGATCGGGACATTTGGAAATCCGGGGCCTGAAGGGCGGATGTGTGGCCAGGATCAGCAGGAGAACAGGCCCGGTAGACTGCCGGGCAGCAGGAAGAAGTAACTCGTGCAGCCAAGCCTGGAGTTACTTCTACGGGAAAATTTGCCTCAGCCGTTGTCTTTTCTCTACTTGGATTTTCGCTGTGTCGCGCGCCGCCGTCTGAAGCCTGATTCCTGCAAGGACAACAGCGCAGTGAGACCCTCCGCAGTCGCCGTCGCTTGTAGCAAGCGAAAATCCGGGCGTAAGTATTTTGTTTCAGCAAGGTAAAATTGCTTCACGAACCATAGCTGTTTTATCACTTCTTACTATTTTAGAATGATTTTGTCTTTTCTTCTTTCAAACCTCTCTGCATCTTTACCCGAAATAACCATCTTTTAAGATATCTGTTTACGCGCGGTGAATCACGAAGTCGCTCGAGTAACGGCCAACCGGACGGGCGAACCTGGGAGCTAGCCCAACGGACGCAGCACCTTTCGGACCCAGTAGTAAGAGGCCGTGATAAAGCCGACGCAGCACCTTCCAGTAAGTCATTCATCACCCTATTCACCTAGCGAGCAGGAGTAGTGTTAGGCGATTGCTTCACTGCTTGGACTTTCGCAAACTCGGTAGACGCTTACGAGCCTTTCTCCTCTCTTTTATTATAGTCGCTCACCATTTGTGCAAATTAAGGCGCAGTCATGGCTCATCACTCGGGAAGTCATCAGGAGAACTGGGTTGTAGAGTGGAAGAGGAGGTCAGAAAACTCGGGATGGGAAAAGGACTGTTTCGAAGAACTGGTTGTCACCTGGCTCGTAGAAGGTGGTCCCTGTACTGAATGTGCTAGTGACTGCCCACTGCACCCGTTGCACACTAGAACCTTTGGCACGGGTTTCAAACCATGCTCCTGCCAGCTCTCTGCATGGAAGGCAGTAAGAGGTTCAAATAACTCCAGTCTAGCAAAGCCGCCAGTCATCATCTCCAAGTATTGGTCGATTCCTCGACGTTCTCTGGTATGTTTTTTTTCGCCTTCCTCCCTTTGTATCCACCTCAACCTCTCATGCAAAAAGAAACAAAAAAAAAAGGAGGGAAAGGAGAGAAGAGGGAAGAGATCGCAAGGATTTACAGATAAATGTCTGCTTACTCTAAATCTTTACCATGCTTCGTTGTTTAAAAAAAGGAAAAAAAAGTTGTGGTCCTCGTCGAACTACTTCTCCTCCACCTTTTCTCTGCAGCCTGCAACACCTTCTTTCTCAAAGCACGCCAGTTATCCAATTCACGGATTAGGATAAGTTTACCTTACTTCAGTTCTTTGCTCTCAAAGCTTTTCCACACACCCCTATCTTGATTTGGTAAAGAGTTGAAGAATACACTGCCTGAATCCTTGCCTTCGTCTTTTCTAAACCAATTCATGATCAATGATCAGACTAGATTAGAACAGTCTTCATGAGCAATTAATCGAACCTTTTAGCATATGCTCTGAAGACTATGGGAGAATCAACTTACCATTGTTTCGAATCTCACAACCTCCTAATCTCTTCTTAAAGATCGCTCATTATAGAACTAGGCCTCGCCTGGCTGCTGCTGTCACGATTGGTTATTCAAGACCTTAGAAGAGGCTAGACTTATCTCACGAGAATTGCTTGCTTCCGTTGCCTTACTAAGTGTCACCCTCTTCTTCACTTAAATAGAAGATTATATTAGCTGCTTGCTCGCATCACTCTTGAATTTCAACCTCCCTTCAAGCTTTCTCTCTGAGTGTCTTACAACCACGGCTCCCGAAAAAAAAAAAAAAAAAAAAAAAAAAAAAAAAAAAAAAAAAAAAAAAAAAAAAAAAAA